TTATGCCTTTGCCACAAGTATTGTCTCTATTGTATTTGTCTCAAAAGCCATATTATAAAATGTAACTTCTCTTAAAGGGATAGTTCACCCAAAATTACAATTGTGCCATCATTTACTCATCCTCATTAATTTTTTGTTGAACTACGAAATAGAGGTTCTTAAAAGAACCATTTTGTTCTTATTGTGAAGAACATTTTAGTACTCTAAAGAACTTTTTTCCACTAGCCTATATAGAACCTTTTGTACAGCGGAAAGGTGATTAAATGATCTTCATGGAATCATTGATGCCGATAAAGAATCTTTATTATTTCCAAAACCAATGCATTCTTCTTAATCTGCAATACCCAAGACATTTTATTCAAGTTCATTTTCTTTGCTTGAACAGCTGTGTGGTCAGGGCATGAGGTCTGTGCAATATTTATAGTGCCCAGCAGTCTTTGTCCCATAAGCAAACACAGAAAAGCGTGATCCAGGGAAGAGGGCTATTCTCAGTCCCTGTTTAATCAACAGAGCAACTTGCACATGGAAAGGGTTTGCATCTCTCACGTCAGTTGGTTCGACTGGCTCATCTGGATGCTATGATTTGCTGCTGCCTCCCAGAAAGCAAAGAGCTTCTACAAGTCTTGCTTATCTGGGAAACGGCACTAGACATATCTGGGCCTGCAGGACTGAAGTTAGACTAATTGTTTTGCTCTCTGCAAAATGGCACAGTTATGGTCGCGCTCTGTTTATCGCACTATAACGGGGCTCTTCTGATCTGTAGGAGAGCTGACAGCTAGTGAGTAGAGCTTCGTCTTTGTGTTAGCGGCCTTGTGTTGCTAAGCTCAGTGGGCTGGATCTGGCAAGTGTAGATAAAATGTCTCCTGTAGAGCTCAATTATTGATGTGAGCAATGGAATGTGTCAGAGTGTGAAGCTTCGTATTACGGGTTCGCTCAGTTATGGCTAATTTGTCTTAGTTTTAGACAAATATTGCTAATGGGATGCTAACTGTTTGTATGTTAGTCTTAGCTTCAGAAAGCACAGATCATGGACCATCTGATGTATATTAAACACACAAAAATGGCAAGAGTGGCTTCAAATCTGGCTGTTATGCAGTTTAAGTCAGAGTGTGCAAATTTTTTGCACAAAAGTCCACCTGGAAACAATGTTGTTGCTAAAGTGAGCACACAAAGGAGAACTCGTCACTGGATTTCTTAGAGTTTACAGGGGTTAGGACATTAAATCAAAATGTTTAAGAGTTTTCATTTGGTAACAAAAAACTTTTTCCTTGTCTGTCAAATAAAATGGTTTTATTTATGAATAGGTGTAAATTAGGAATTGTATTGATTATTCACTGAAAATGATTTTATCTTGTTTTCCAGTATACATATCTAAAACTCAATGTATATTTGCCAATGAAAAAAGAGAGATAAACTTATTTCAAAATTAAATGTAGTACATTTAATTTAAATGAAGAACAAATGTTTTTCTTCAACATTTTGTTAGATTTCTCACAACATGAGACTTCTTTTCAGATCTTATGTAATTTTCCTTAAATTTAAGGAGGTTTAGATGTAATTGCTGGAAATTAAGATGGAATACTAACCTTTGTTTTTCACCTTTGAAGACTCTTAGAGTTTTATATCCAGGAATCCTGTCACCGAAACTAGGACAGATCACTGACACTGACTGATATGTATTATTTGGTAAGGGGACCATGATAAAATACTTGCTTTTCCTCAGGCTACGTCAAAAGGACTCCAGCAAATGGATTTTTGTTTTTCTTCAATTACCTTGCTAGAGTTCAGTCGTGCATCATCAGTGACTCCAGACAAGAAAAGAGATGGAGGTTTCATGTCAAGCCACTGAAACAAAATGCACAGATGAAATCAGCGGTCCATCAGCTTATACAGAGAATAAAAACAACCCCATAAAGCTCTAAGCAAAGCCGTTCTTTGATAAACTGTAATTTAGTGGTGCTGTTTAAAACCGGTAATTATTTAACATTGCAGATTGATGTTTTAAATGGTTCCTGATTTCACGATGAGGCACTTTTAAGAGCAATTATCCTGTGGCTCTACTTCTTTCTAGTCAATCTAACCTGCTGCCAGAATCTGTGTTAGCTGCTTGATGGCTTTGTATTCAAGCTAATACAAGCAAACGGAAGCCTTTTTCAACAATCCATTTGAGTGCATCACTTGACCAAAACAGGAGCATTACGCATAAAACCCAGATCACTCCCTAAGTCTTTTATACATTTATGAGTAGTTCATGTAAAAAAAACTTGACATTAACAAAAGTCTGTGTTTTTATCTGCTCTCTGCTCTGCTGTGATGACCACAAAAACCAAAATGTTTCTACAAAAACTTTTATGCAGGAGTGTAGAAACAATCCATAATGAAAACCCTTTACAAGTATGCACACTTTTAAATTAGTCACTTCTTTATTTTTTATTTTTTTTCAATAATTTGGCCCGAAACTTTACTGTGACAACTGTAAAACGGCACATTCTTGTCAACAATTGCTTTAGTTAATATTTTGTCAGTAGCTCAGTGCACAAACAGTGCCAAGCATACTTTAGGTTTGCTCATGAATATTAATTATATTATGTGACGTTCATCCTGCCTAATTTTGCGAAACTAGCTGTCCTAATTTCAGTGACAGAATTCAACAGCCTTTAGAGGAGAAAAACAGGTTTCTCAATCCCAAAATATAAATAGTCTTCTGTAGTCTTAGACTTAACTGCAGTCAAAAAGTCAAAGAAACCTCTTGAAAATATATAAAAGAAGGAATTTAGCAATATGTTTTAAAAGTTGGGGTTTAGTTACAATAGCTGCCTTGGATCCATGTAAACTGGAATATCCAATATTTTATATACATTTATTAGAGTATTGAAATGTGAGCAGTTGTAAGTCAAATCTCCCGAGGCGAGAAAAAAAAAAGGCGCATTTACGTATGTAGCGCTACAAGATACAATTATACAATACAGATTGTTTCAAAGCAGTTTCACATTAATAAACAGAAAAATAGAGTGTTAATGCTGTAAAACAAATGCAGTTTCAGCTGCGCTACAGAAGGCAATAGTGTCATTATTCATCTCACTTTAGTTCAGTGTTGTTTCAATTCAGTTCAGTGCCAATGTTGCAAAGTTCATCAATTATGAAACAAGTTCAATTCAGCTACAAGCACCTCTATGGAGAAAATACTATTTCAGTCTTTCTGCTTTAAAAAAAAAACATGTTTAATTAGCTGTTTATTACTGTTTCTTTGTAATTAATTAACTTTACTAGCAATTTCTGAGTGAAAATTATTTCTACACTTTTTTTTTCAATGCAGCTCACTAGGTTGTGGAACTGAACCCTAGATTAATCATGGGAGCTCATGTCTGTTAATTATTAAATTTAATAATGCTTTTTCAGCATTGCAGGAGCAAATGCTGTGAATTCTGAGCATTATGACAGCTTCCCCTCCCCCGGTTGCCTCTGTCTCCTCGCACTGTCACACTGCAGGGACACAGATCAATCAGGTTTCACCAGCTCACACCAGAGTTTAGCTATTCATGTTTAATGCAGCTGAGACCTTTATCTCCCTCGCTAGCAGTGGGGTCTCAGAGCAGAGATATCGTCGTGTGTGCTGACACCACCTGCTGGCAAATGCCTCATAGTCCCTCCCCTGAAGCGACGGGCCAATCGGCATGTGTTTGCACCATCTCTGTGTGAGATGCAGTACCAGATCTAATGCCCACGAGCCTGCGTTCTGCCACCAGACTCTGACCTGGGGGCCTCGGTGGCTAAGGCCCGCTTGCTTGCAGCTGTCCATCATCGGCATTACGCCAGAACACAGTTCTGTTATGAAATGAGACAAGGCCATGATGTGATGACCGGCACTGAATTTAAAAATTGCATAGTCCAGACAAAAAAATTAGCTGTGAAAGTTAGGACTATTAAGTTACTAGAAATGAAAAGAAATACTCTTTTTAAATCATTTCAGTTTCAAATTAATGTTGTTCTTTTGAACTTTTTATTAATCAAAGAATCCTGACAAAAATATATAATGTTTTCCACAGTCAGTACAACCTGATTTCAACATTGATGATAATAATGTTTCTTAAGCGCCAAATCAGCATATTAGAATGATTTCTGAAGGATCATGTGACACTGAAGACTGGAGTAATGATGCTGAAAATTCTAATTTGCCATCACAGGAATAAATGTAAAAAAAAATTATTGTATTTTTGATCAAATAAATGCAGCCTAAGCATGAGGGGCTTGTTTCTCATGACGTAACTAGACTCAAGTTTACATCCTGTAACCTGGGACTTGTAAATCTTTACCGTCATTACTTATGTCTTGATTTTTGTGAGCTTAGCGAACGACCTCAAGACAGCATCATTATGAAGCTTCCCGGAACCCTTGCAGTCAGCTTTATGAATATGGATTACTGTTCAGGGCAGATTAGTGAACACAGCAAAGTATTTATCAACTTCAGCAGTGTGATATCAGGAGCAATAGGAATTATGCCCGCTTTTTGGTGTAATCCTCTGTGGAATCATGAACTAGACTTAAGGTACTACAAATTTAACTCTAAAAAATCTAAGGTTGTATGGAGGAGAGGTGGTCATTGGTATGTCATTTGATTTTTTTTTCTCTTCACAAATTCTAGCAATTACAAAGTATGCATAAACATTTCTTTACATAAAATTACATACAGTACACTGCATTTTTTTAAAAGTAGTAAATATAAAGATTATAGGAGTATATTTGACAAGAAAATACTATTTTCAAATTTTCACACAATTCAGTATGTTGTTTCTTACGCTCTACTAGCAATTTCTGAGTGAAAATTGTTTATACGCCAATTATTTCAGCGTACAATCTGGTTTAATTTTAAGCAACTATTGAACTAGTTTCATTTGGAAAATTTTATGAAATATTATTTTTATAATATCATATTTTAGGTATGTTAAATATAATAATAATGTTTATTTGTTTATTTATTTATTTTTCTCTACTACCCATAGGATAGCTTTCCAGCAAGGTTTGGAGGGATTCATTTTGTCAACCAACCTTGGTACATCCACGCTTTGTACACAGTCATCCGGCCTTTCCTCAAGGACAAAACAAGAAAAAGGGTGAGAGAAGTTATTGACTTATGTGTCTGTTTTTTTCAATCACTTTTATCACATTTAATTGTGAACTATTCTGTTTATGTACATGTAATATACATTGAAATATACAGGCTTTTGATGTGCATGCATGCATGCAAAAAACATGCACAGTGCAATGCCATAGAATTTAGTGCGAACCGCTGAATGGTAATGAAACTATGAAAAAATAATCAGGCAAATAACAGTATTTTATTTGTTGTATATTTAGATTTTCATGCATGGAAACAATCTGAACAGCTTGCACCAGCTGATCTTGCCTGAGATTCTGCCGTCTGAGCTGGGTGGCATGCTGCCTCCTTACGACATGGGCACCTGGGCCAGAACGTTGCTGAACCATGCGTATGACGAAGAGACGGACTACTGCCCTGAATCCTATACCTTGTCTGTCAAAGACCTGGAGAAAGATCTGTCCCCCAAAACTATGAAAAGGTATGTTACTTGATGATCTAGCTTTTCAGTACAGTTGTTTGATGTATTTTTGCCTGTTGACATCCTTATTTAAGTTTTATGCAGGCATAGTGGAATGTTTTAGTATTATTTGTTATCTTTGTATTATTTATATATGTTATTATAGCATTTATTCATATTTTAAATTAGCTTTAATTTTTTATCTTCAGTTTTTATTTTAATTTTAGCTTAAGTTTTAGTATTTTTTCTGTGCTTTTGTCATTTGTATTAGCTTAATTTTTTGTTTTAGTAAATGTAGTATTTCAAATGATTTTTCAACTTATTTAGCTTTATTTCGGTCAGTTGCCAAGGCAAAATTTTAATTTTTAAAAAAGTTTTTAAGTTAAAATTTGTCATATAATATTATTTTATTTGATATTTTTATTATATATTTTTATTATATATTTTCACCTTTATTTCAGTTACTCCAAACAATTTTTAATCATTTTGATTTTAGTTTCAGTTAACCATAACATTGGTGCTCATTGAAACCATCATGTGAGGTCACCGAACAGCCCATATAATATATGTTATTTATTTCTAATGTGCTTGTTGAATGACATCATTTGGTGGCTTGCCATGGAAACAGCATTTGCTTATTCACAGTCTTCATTCAAGTAGAATTATCAAGAGAGTCGCTCTGGATAACAAAAACAAGCTGCTTTGCCAGAGGCATAAAGAAGCTACAGTGTTTGTTAAAGGAGTCACATTTGAGCTGCACACTGTATGTTTCTTCGTGGTTACGGTGCTTAGCAACCGACTCCTTAGATTTATGATAAAATGCAGCTCTTCTTAATAAAATAAGCATTTTGGGATGACCTTACAGTATGTGTTTGACCGAGCGACTTGAGCTCATTTCACTAATCAAGACATGGTGAGGTGTCTTGACTTACTAGGTCATGAAATCAGCATGAGGGAGTGAAGACACTGCCATGAGCTGCGTTAAATGATGCACTGCCTATACATGGACAACTATAGAGCGTAAAAGAAGACGTTACAGAGGTTTTCCTGTGGCAAACATCTTACTTTTTCCCCTTGCCTTCTGCAGTTGGGGCTGTACTTGTACAGAGACGTTGGCTACCAAATATAGCCTAGTTTGCAGTGGCTTATTTTTCCCTCACATTTGAAGGAACTGTTTGGATTCTATCAAAGCGTCTGGGGAGTGCAGTAGTTGGAAGAAAGTAGGTCTTAGATGTTCTTCTATTGCTAAGATCAAAGTACTGTTCTTTAAACAGCTTTGGCTATTAAACTAAACCTCCCAGTCCGCACATAACACATCTATGTACATAAAAAAATAAGCTTTGGTGGAATCCTGCACCCTGTATGGTGAATTATTCTCTAGTGTTGTATTATTAACATAATTCATCATGTTTTAGATGTGAGAATAGATTGCTGGTGATGATCTATATTTACTGATATTCAATTCCATCTGTTCAGTCTCATGGATACACTCACAAACAGGTCATATATTGGGGCTTTGGTTTACAATAGTGAGAAATTATCCCATTAGACTCAATTAATGATTTATTTGACCTGTAATAAAATCTGCTAAAGTTGACTGTAAAAATACACATTTTATTTAATCATGCATAACCTGTCATAACTAAATTGCTTGTATGCACAGCAGTTTTTTTTTAATAGTTTATTTTATTCAATTGAAAGGTGAAACAATATAGTTTTGGCATTTTTAAGTGAAAAAAAACACTTATCTAGCCTTTTTTATTTTTTTTAAATACCCAAATATTTATTTATTTATTATTATTATTATTTTTCTTTTAAGATAATCAATTAATTTGTCAAGGCAGCTGCATCACCACTGACATTTCTACTTCCAGCCTGTGTTGAATCAAGCAACAGTGTTGTAGTATTTACTGAGTGCTTTAAATTTCCACTCCCTAATACTCCCTAAAATGTCATTGTGTTAAAATGAGTGTGAGCTTAGGAATGTCTGATTTTATGAAGCTAACACCTCCCACATTCTTCAAAAGGGTACATTTTTCAGAGCAATTAAAACCACACTTCGTCCCTTTGTCTGCTCTGGAAAGGTCACATGGACATCACTTTCCCCCCCCCCAACACAGTTTTCTCTTGTGTTTGCATTGGGTTGCACTCAAATAGCACGGATTCTTGCTGTGATGTTAGTGTAACAGCTTTTGTGCGTCATTCTGTGATTTGTTAGTTGAAAAAAGATGTAGTTCATTATCCTCAAGAAACATTTTGTGTTATTATGGTTGGTTATAGGTGCTGTAAGCCACAGATATTTTTTGCTGTTTGCTGAGTCTAGGTCTGTCACAGAAACAGGTGGGATTTCTCTAGACACTCATTTCAGAGATGGGTGTCAGGTCGTTTATTTCATTTGTGGTATTGAAAAAAACCCATCACTTACCGCACCTTTAATTTGTTCCTTTGGGGTCTTACTGCTGTATATTTTAAAAGGCAAATTAGACCAATCTTATCTTTTAAAGTCAACACAAAAATTGAAATTATTTACTTTTTGAATAAAGGAAAGTATTTTTATTGTTCATAAATACTTACTGTATATATATATATATATATATATATATATATATATATAAAGGCAAATTATAACAGTTATAGTAACAGTTATATTTTAAAGTCAACATAAAAATTTAAATTATTTACTTTTTAAATAAAGTAATCTATTTGTATTGTTCACAAATACTTACTGCATATCTTTATATATGTGAATCTCTAGGATTAGCAGTTAATTTAAAGGCAAAATTAGAGTCCATCTGTTCAGAGGTGTTTTTAATAAACTATGGTGGGCATGGCAGAGTTACAAGGAGAAAGCCAGTCCTCTCCAAAAAGAACATTGCTGCCCATCTGCAGTTTGCTAAAGATCATATGGACAAGCCAGAGGGTTATTGGAGAAATGTTTTGTGGACGAATGAGACCCAAATAAAACTTTTTGGTTTAAATGAGAAGCGTTATGTTTGGAGAAAATAACACACTGCATTCCATCATAAGAACCTTATCCCATCTGTGAAACATGGTGGTGGTAGTATCATGGTTTGGGCCTGTTTTGCTGTACCTGGACCAGGGCGGTTTGCCATCATTGATGGAACAAAGAATTCTGAATTATACCAGCAAATTCTAAAGGAAAATGTGAGGACATCTGTCCGAGAACTGAATCTCGAGAGAAAATGGGTCATGCAGCAAGACAACGACTCAAGTCATTCTACCAAAGCAGGGTCGTAGATCACGTGGGGGACGTGTCCCCCCCACTTTTAATATCACGTAAATTCATCCCCCGCACTTTTTCAGGCAAGTGTGTTTGCATAGAGGTTTTCAAGAGCCGGTGTGAATAAATATAGATTTAAATTCAAAGAGTGTGCATGATCTGATGTTTTATTCGGACCCAGAATAAGGCAAGATAAACAGCACGGAGTGCTAAACACTCCATGCAGTGTATGTTTCATTCATACTAAAATGAATACTGAAATCGCATCATATGACCCCTTTAATCCAATTTAAATGTTTTGTCTCATTTGTTTGATTGTATTCTCTTTGTCAACTTTCAGGACTTGTATGAAAATCTGATGATCTTATCGGTCATATTTATGAAGAAATATAGAAAATTCTGTATATATATATATATATATATATTATATATAAAACTTTGTATATATATATATATATATATATATATATATATATATATATATGATCAGTAATGACTGGATGACTGTATATTACCTCTAACATATCATAGCCCACTTTTCACAACCCATTCAAATCCCGATGGAATCACCTTGTCCTACATTATTTCCTTCTGAATATTCAGCACATCAAATACATCACATTACTGAAGTTAAATGCAGTGCAAACTGGATTTCTTTTGTCAAATCTAGCAGCTGCCTGATAAGAAACATCTGTTTTTGTTGAATTTTCATGATTACAATCACGGTTCATAAATGCGTCAGTCAGAGGAAAGTGCCCCAGATCTGCACATGATGAACGACAGCACACTGTCCTCAAAGCTTCTTATGCCTCTACGAGAGGGCTAAATCAAAAGTAGGCCAACACAGTGCACTAAGATAACATGTTCCGTTACACATCCTTCACTTTAAATGATTGTGACATGCACAATGCATCATTAATTTGTACCACTGAGTGTGCAGTGCTCTGTTTATGTACCTAAATGTTTAATTGGGGTCCAAATGTCTGAGAGTAAATGTCACTATTTTGGATTTTTTATTTATTTATATTTCATGTCAGATCATATTTTGGTATGTCCACTTTTAAAACTTTTAGATGAGCCTGTAGGGCAACTTCCCTCATGGTCAGTCCATGCAGAAGAACATGGTCAACTATAGTGCTTTGTATTTCATCAGGAACAAATTAAATTTGACCTCATCCCCTTCATTTTTATTTCCCCCTCCAATTCCTCTTTGATTCATTTTCCAAAACACATCAGCTGTGCTCTTGTTCATATCATCCTGAGATTCTGACCTGTGTGTCATCAGTTTTGCTACTTAATGTTCACACATGGATAAATATGTGCTGTTTGAGTTAATTTTTTTGATGCTTGAGTTAATTATATTGTGTGTTTGTGTTTTCTGAATGAGAACATGGTTAAACCTGGGCAAAATGATGGCGTTTTTGTGTAGAGTTTTGCAGAAAACACTGAGCAAATTGGAACGTGTGCAAACAGGTGAAATGTGTTAAAAGTTTTGAGAAATGTGTCTGTTTCGAGAACTGTATGAATGGTTTGGAAAATTGGGCCGAATGAATCAGTTATAGTGTGTTAGCAATCGAGAAAAACTGTATAATAATAATAATAACTGTATAAATAATAATAATAATTTTTTATCTTTCTCTGTCATGTCATAACTTTTCTTGTTCATTTTCAGGTTTAAATTAGGATTACATTTTGTATCCTAGCTTTTCAATGCACTCTCAGGATTTTTCATGTCTCAGTTGTACATGTTGAAATGCGGTTCATTCATATTTTATTTATACCTGCAGGTCCCAGTCTGTGGTGGAACCAGGTGTCCTGAAACGACCAGAGACAGTGAAAAGCGAAGAAGAAAACATGCAGCCGCTGCTTTCTCTGGACTAAAGGCTCTTAATTCCCCAGGCAACGAGGAAATGTCAAGCCCCGTATGCTGGGGAGGAGCGCACCTTGTTCCTATAACACGAGAGAAAAAAAATACAAAGAAAGGAAATGTTAAAAAGCGAAAGAACACACGAACAGCCTCCGGGAACTCTGCAGAGAGCTGCCGGTTTAAATGATATTTTTGAAGCAGAGAGCTAACGGCGGACGTCCGTATGTAATTGTCAAGTGCCAATTCAAATCTGTAAATGCTCTTCAGTTCTAGACGTGAGATTGAGGGAGTAATTGTGACATGAACCTGTAAAGACTGCTGTGAATATCCTGTGTGTGCTTCTCGTGGTTATTATGTAGAACATGGTACTATAGGATGGGTAATCATGCTTATAAAAATTCACAAGCTTTGGGGTTTCCGGCATTTATAATCCCCAAATCAGAAGTCGCTCAGGAGTATTTCGAAAGGAACGCATAGAGCTGTTGACGGTGTCAGACAGGCATATGCTACTTCCATTAGGAAACACCATCATTGGTCCAGGTTTCAGTGTTTCACAGCAAATACCCCTTTACGAAGAAAAGATTTTTCTAATGAGCGTTTGCTAATATTATTTTAACACGCGTTTTCGGTTTAGTATTCTTATATCCCAGAGGGGTCGAGTCACATTTAGTAGGCTTTAGCTGATTCTTCACTGATGGCCTTGTTGTTTACACTCTGTCGTAGACTGTGGAATATTGCTTTATTTCATAACTATTTCCATATTAGGCTAAGTTGGTTTCCAAGGCATTTGTATTCACACCAAGGACCAGATACATTACAACAAAGTACCGTCTTTGCCATCTTTTCAACTTCAGAGTCATTTCTGCTGAAGTTAAAGGAATAGTTCACCCAAAAATAAGTATTCTCTGTTTATTTACTCACATATTTTAGTATCATTGAGATGCCATTGTAGTTTTTATTAATATTTTGATTATTTTTATTAACTAAATGAATAGTTAAATCTCTATATGTTGATATATATAATATATTTGCCGGCCATATGTTGATATTTTTCCATGAAAACACGAAAGGAGAGTTTTGAGGAGTTTGGAACAACACGATGGTGAGTAAATAAAGACAAGATGTTCGTTTTTGGTTGCACTATTCACTGGAACACTAACACAGAGGATTACACAGAGCCACGAACAAGGTGTTGTATATAGTGACACATGCTAGTGCATGCCTCCACATGCTTATCTTGGTCAGCTTATGGTTTAGATCGTGTGAAAATTGTTTACTCTAAATTACTCAGCTGTTTTATGATACCTGGGGTGTTGGCAATAGGTTTTTACAGCGGTTAAGTTTCAAGCCCAAACGAGTGAATTTAACACACAGATAATTTCACCATTTGATACTTTGTGAGTGCGTGTAAGGAACAAGGGCAATATACATACATTTAAAATACATAATGTACATAAAAATCTTCAAGGCTTTCACTTTTGCTGATATTTTTTTCTCCATGGGAGCAAATAATTACACATCCTCATTGATTTTGAGCAAATTATACTTCCCAGACAGATTTCGATATAAATACGTAATCAAAGCTTCTAGCTTGGCTAAACGGTCAAATTTAGGAATACTGTGGTTATGTTGTGTGATACATAATGTAAAATTCTGTGGGTACAGCTTTGTACAGTGGCTCAGTTTGGTCCTGTTTTAATTTTCTTATTTCATATAAATCAATATACTCAACTATTACACATACATTGTTGTACACTTGCATATATGATGACATACAATATGGATGCATTGACGCCATCTAATGTATCTAACATGATTTAGAAATCAATAGAGTACATACAGTACAATCAGCCTAACAATTTCATGAATCTCCAAAGTTGTTAGTTATATATTAGATGCTGTTAATACATTACTTGTATATGTTTCAGTGTTTATGCAAACATCCCTTGATTTTTTTTCCCATCTGTAGCTTTTGAACACTAAGACTTTACAATTTACAGTACATCTATACCAGATTTGCTCCTCTTCACAATAAGCAGGTTAACAGTCCAGATTATGACTTTTTATTTAGCTGATATAGCTTGTGTTAAGGAAAGTGATATCCGTTTTTTATTTGCTAAAACTGAAGTCTGCACACTCTCACGACTCATTGGGCTTCTAACATCTCAAAGAGCGCAAATTGTTTCTAAAACCTTGCTTTATCATTCTGAACAGAATCAGGGAGAACAAAATTTTGAAAATTGGCTGTTTTGAATCAGAATGTATTTCCCAGAGAGTAATGGTGTTATGTACAGTATAGTCATTATTACACTTCCTGTGTCACATTCAGATATTGTGAGCAGGAAGGCCTCAAATGATGGTGTAAATTGTTTCAGCATATATTTAGTAGAGCTGTGTTAATGCCGTGATCAGTATTTTAATACACCTTGAATTTATTTGTATTCCTGTATATGCTTTGTTCATGCTGCATTATGAACAGCCTTGTTTGTATTTTAGGCAATCAGAATGTTGATCAAATTGTCTCCATTTTCTAGCCTTGCTTTCTATGGATATGTACATGTATTGCCATTACAACCAAAGCAACCCTGGGTCAAAGAAACCAACAATTATCCCCTGCTTTTCTAAAGACTACAGGAACAATATTTCTTTGATTGCTGGCTTTTCTTTTCCATATCACGTTGATTGTATAATAGGGTGTTAGTGCTGAGAAGCTCATGGAGTATAGAGGTATTATCATGCAGAACAATACATGTGGTTTAAAAGAACATGTTGAATGGAAGTAAATATGTGTATATGTCCTTTCAAAATGCTGAGATAAATTATGTAACTGAAACTAAGCTGCGAAAGGAAAAAAAGCAGCCAATAAATGTTCATATACATAGTTTAAACCTATGAATCAGTTTTGAACTCTGCTCTTAATTTTGTTTTTAACAGGTTATTTAATTTCAGATGGCACACTGACATCTAATAAGGTGAATGGCTTCTGTTTCTTTCACAAGCTCTTCCGCAAACGTATGTCCATGTAAGTTTGGTAAACTTGTACGAAATTCCACGAAAATAGGGCATTGTTTTATGGCAGCAACAAATGCATGTGTACAGTTATGACAGCAGTATATTTACGACAGTGAATTCCACTCATTTAACTGTAGGGGCTCCAAAGTCACAAAAACACAAAACTACATACTGTATAGCTGCTTTAAATAATTTTAAAATATAGTTATACATTATTATATTTTAAATTGTAATACTATTTCACATTACTGTATTATTCAAACTGCAGTCAATTATATAACAAATATTTTTGTTGTTGTTTTTGTCACTCATCAGGATAAAATCGCTTAGAAAATCACATTCCATTAGCTTAGAAAAGTAATATATCAAGCTGCATGATTTTAGGTATCATAACCACACATATAGCACATAAACAAGGTGTTAGGAGATTAGGAAATGCTACAGTCCATAAAGTCTTTTTTTAGCTTATGTTGGCAGCTAATGAGTTTAAAGTCATCGTTAACACTCTGAAGGGGCAGTTTGTTTGCTGAGAGTGCACAAAACCGGTGCCAAAATCGTCCGGTTGTCCTGATCTCATTCTGTGCCGCCCACTCAGAGCGTCTGCTGAGTCTGCTGTGGACCGTGGACACACCCTGAGCCCTCGTGTACAAACACAGCACAAAACCACTGCCCTCCTGCATTATTTAGTGAGGGTGTCATCATCGCAGCTCACACCACCTTAAGTGTGCAATCAGGCTGTGGCTCACTGATGGCCACACACATGTAATACACTGCAGTGGAGAGTCTAATTAAAAAGCATTCGTCATATTTAAGACCATGTCGTACGTCTGCTGACCATAATGGTGCTTATGTCATTCTCTGCATGCATTGCCTCTTTATTTCCACATAGTCGCAAGGAGTCGCTCCTTAGTAAGGATTTACAGACCTATTTATCTTCAGGGCTTTTATTGTCTACCGAGACCATGGGATGCCAGTGCTAATATGAGATTCTCTGTCAGACTGTCTTCTTGAGACAGCAGTTCCCATATTGGAGAGTTTGGCCTTGTCTAAACTGGGCTGTTTTAAATGGAGATGAAGCACTGATCCTGCCCCGAGGAACCTTCTCTGCTGATGATAGTGGAAGACTGCTTGCTTTTATGGAGCAGCAGGGTGTTTGTGAATCATGGATGTTCATGCAATACAATCATGATGAATGACACACTAACTGAACATGAAATGTTGCAATGACATTTCATTCATGTGTGTTAAAACACTTTCTTCTTTTCCCAGTTTAAGGAAGAGAGACAAGAGGGGATGAATTTTTGGTTGAACACACATGCACAAATGCTGTCTGTTAGGGAAGCTGCTTTCTCTTTTGAACACACTCAAAGTGATTGCCAATATTAGGACTGACACAAACTATTTCACTTAACTGTGACTATTAGGTTCAGTTAATTTAAACAGAAAAGCCAATTAGCTTCAGGTTGTGGAAGTTGTTTTTGGATAGCATTGACAAAGAAATTCACAATTAGAATTATTTTATTACTTTAACATTATAAATGTTTCCAAAAGGGGTACAAAAAAGGGGTCTTCCTTCCTAATAATATAAAGATTACCTTTCTTACAAAGGTAATATATATTTTTTTTTAATGGACATTAATCTGTAAGCAATAAGGTATGTGTTACGGAAGGAGCCTCACACAGAGGATTAGAAAAATACAATATAGTTTATTTTCAACAAGGAGTGCAGATGGTTCGGGCAGGTGAGTAATAGAGCTGAATATCAGACTTTAAGGATGATGAGGGGAGTAACACCATATATGGTCCTTCAGGAGATCGTGGAATGGAGACCGAGGACTGCACACACCTCAGTAGAAGGGTACACGGAGCGGATGACTGGAACGGACTAGGGAATGGGACACAGCAGAACACACTGGAGGAAACACAGGAGGTAAGTATAACAGGAAGGTAAGTCTTTCAATGTATCTCACGGATAGCATAGAGAGAGAGTTCACTTCTTTGAAATGAGACCGGACACTGGAGTGAAGTGAGGTGTGTGCTTTTGAAGGG